CATATATCATATATATATATATATATTAGCACAAGCAAATCCAGATCTGGGGCAAAACATAAAATTGTCCTTGCGATAACAAGAGTTCTAGGACATGTCATGCCCCCAAGCCTTGTGGATGGAGGACGGGGGGCGGGGGTGGAGCAGGAACCCTGATGCTCTCTAGGAAGGCTTGTGATCACTGTCTGGGAAGCATGTTTCCTGAAGGCCTGCAAACCTGCCTGTTGAGATTTTGTGCAGAAATACCTTCTAGAGAATGCAACTCTAGAAGAAAAGTTTCTTTATAACACAGAAAAATTTCAGAATTGTATTTCAGTCTAATTCAAGCCTCATTTAAAAGGTGATGAAGCTGAGGCCAGAGCTGTTAAATGACCTGCCTTGAGTTACCCAGAGGTGGGCTGTGGCAAAGCCTGGAGCCTCCAGTCTCCTGTCCTGTGTTCACACCACTCTGCTGTAACTGCCTCATCAGTGCTGGTTGCTATCCACACATGGCCTTCCTCCCTACATCCTCAGTCTCCTGCCTACATAATGGATGTTTAATGCTAAACTACTCCCAGGTGGGAGATTAATGGCACTAGGGGGAGCAGAGCTATGACTTACCCACCCTTCAGTGGTGCTATGCATCTACAGTCACTGCCGTCTGATAGAGGTCCCTGTCTTCATCTGCTGACAGGGTTTACAATCTTCATGGGGCTTCCTTAACCAGAGGGTCCAGTGTCATAATCACCTTAACTCATTTTCCCTAGCCACGTCCTAAAGAACTCTTTTGCCACAATTCTCAGTTGTTTTTCCATCTCTCCTTAGCTATAGTTGGGATAAGGCTAGCTCCCATTCCACTTCCTCTGGTAACACCTGGTTTTGTTTAATGTCTGTCTTGCCCCAAATCAGACATTTCCTGAACCCAGGGTACCTCTGTTTCTCATGAGCTTAGCATAAGGCATTTGGCATTCAATAATACTTTGAGAACTTGAAAGGACTTAAAAGAATTCCATCCAATTCCCCATGGGTTGAGTTTGAAGTTAAGATAAAAGGTCTCCTTTCCCTAACAGATTTCCTCCAATGCTAATGAGCTGTATGACATAGGAGCAAGTCGCATGAACTCCCTGAGCCTCAGGCTGCTCCTCTCTGTAATGGCAGAGTTGAAGTGTGGTCTGACATTCACCACCTCTTGAATTCTATAGCTCTAAGAAGTGCCATATTCCTCTTACGATCACAGTCCTTGGAATCATCTGGTGTCTGCTCACGAAGCCACCTTCTGTGCTCTCTGCCTGCAGCATGAGTTATAAGCTTATTCTTGCACTGATGGGACAATTACTGCTTTCACCCCAAGTTAGATTCTGGATTGGGGTTATCAATACAACAATTAATAAATGTGTGATTCAGCTGTATAGGAGGAGATAAATAACAGCAATAACAATATCAGCTAACAACGGTGAATTGTTTAAAACATTTATTTATTTATATTTTTATTTTATGTGTATGAGTGTTTTGCCAGCATGCATGTAAGTGCACCCATGTCATGCAAAGTCTGCAGAGGACAGAAGAGGGCATCAGGTACCCTGAACTGGAGTTACAGATGGTTGTTAGCTGTCATGTAGGTGCTGGGAATTAGATCTGGGTCCTTTGCGAGAGTAGTCAGTACTCTTAACTGCTGAGCCATCTCTCCAGCCTCTAAGAGCTTTTTATATACCGACTTTTTTTACTCTTACAATAACCTATGAGGTAATGTTAATAGGTATGATTATTCTCATTGTACAGATGAGGAAATTGAGGCATTGAAAAGTCAAGCATGTTGGCGCTTCTTCATTGTATGTATACAAGTAATCCTTCACCATTCTATAGGTGTGGACTCTAACCAAAGCAGGACTAGACTTCTGAGATGAGAACAGAAGATGGAATAATTACCAGTACAATTTATCTCAGAGATGACCATAAGGATGGGAAGCGTCGATATATAAACAAAACACTTAGAAGTAAATCTGGTAATAAGCAATTTAGCAATTGTCAGCTGCAGCTATTACTGTTGCTATCTGCCTCCTCACATGGACAGGAACTCCTTTGGGGTGACTTCCATATTTTATTAGTTATTGTATCCATATCCCTCAACCCAGGGCAGAGCCCACATTTAAAGCCAGGGATTGGTTGTTAAGTGAAAGAAATTCACCCAATGGGTGCTCACATTTACTTGAAGACCTGTAATGTACCAGCCCTGTGAGGAGTTTGCCACATGTGTTATCTTGTGTAGTCTCACAGGGTTAGGTAACAGACGTATCCATTTTCAGAAGAGGTATACCAGGTCCACTTGCTTACCTTGCTCTGGCCTCTCCCTTCATCCATGCATCTATGAAAATGAAAATGTTCTTTGATTGAAGAGATAAGTCTCCCCATGTTGCCTGATGGTTGGCATGAGCACAATGTATGTCTGGGGCCATGTTTGGGCTAGAGAATGTATTTTTAAATCTTGTTAACTTGGAAGTTAGCATATTTGCTTTTCAGCCTCATACTCTCGAAAAATCCTGGGGAGTTATTTTTATAAACTAATCAAGATATGCTTCAACAAAAATTCAAAAACCAATCAAGGTATGTCTGTTAATAATAATGGTAAATAGAAAACACAGATAAGCAAAGTGAAGAAAATTAAAATCCACTGTAATCCAACTGCCAGAAATAACCACCGCTAACACCTTGACCTTGTGCATGTCCTTCCAGATGTTTCTATACATATGAAAGAGGATACAAATCATGAATGCTAGAGCACCTTCAACCCCACCATTGCCCAACACATCCTATCCCAACCCTGGCCACACGAGAGAATGAGAGAATGACAGCTTGGCCTAGTCAGCTTCCTCCTTTCTATGGAGTACCCATCTTTGACACAAAGGTTCTCTGGCTTTTGTCATAAAGAACAGGAAGTGGAGGGAGGCAGCACATTTGAGAGAGAAGGGTTATGCACTGTAGGGGTTTTAAGTAGAATTTCCTGGAGAAGAACAGATAGCAGCAATGGTGTGTAAATGGGAGAGACACTAAGGAGATTTAGAAGGATCACTGAGATGCTGTATTCGACTCACATATATGAAAATATGAGAACTGTGTTTGTTAGCATAGCTCTTTGATTTAGATACTCTCTTAGAATGAGCTGTTTGGGTTGTGATTTTGTAAACAGAATAAAAATATCTATGTATATATGGGTTTAAACATATAAGGGTTTTTTAAAATAAAAGATTTACTTTTCTCCCCCGCCCCCTGTCTCTCTCTCCATGTATGCAGGTACCCCTGAGGCCAGAAGAAAGCATCAGATTCCCCTGGAACTGGAGTTATAGACAGTTGTTAGTTGCCATATGGGTGCGGGGAACCAAACCCAGGTCTTCTGCAAGAGCAGCCAGTGCTCTAAACCTCTGAGCCATCTCTCCAGTCACAGATGGCTATATATTTTGATTGAGCTGGTAGTT